CTGGTCTTGAACTCCTGACCTCAGGTGATCCACCCGCCTTGGCCTCCCAAAGTGCTGGGATTAGAGGCGGGAGCCACTGCACCCGGCAGACGGAGTTGATTTTAAAATGGTGTGACTCTGGCTCTCTGAGGCCCCTTCTTCCTAACATAATGGCCTGGCCGTCCCATTGCAAGTCAGGTCAACCCTGAAGGGCCATTCTAGTTTCCAAGCTCCTAGTGTGGTGGGCTGAGGCCTTTGCTGGGTCTGCACTGTGGCTCAACTTCTCCCCCTGTCCATTTCCTGCTTCCTTCTCCTGGGGGATTGATCAAGTCACTCCGCTAGTCATCACCCAGTACGCTAAACTCCAACCCTTAACAGAGAGTCTGACACTAGGACCAACAGCCATAAGGGCTCTGTCCCTTCTAACACCTCCCGTTAGAGCAGGCCCAGCAGCTAGCATGAGGCCAGCACATAGCAGGGGCTCAACTGTGTTTGTTGAATAAGTGAATAAATACACAAATGAAGAGACCCTTTGGGAGATAAAGGACAGTGCATATTTGCCTTCCAGGCTGTCATAATCGCTACTAGTAAGTATGTTGCCATCGTGTTTGCAATGAGCAGTGACAGGGATCCCTGTGCACCAGCTGTGTGAAGATCAATGAGGGCCCAGGGGTTTTCTCATTGATCCTCACACTCCCTGTTTGTTCTGTGCACTGTTGTGCCTTGTGAAGCTGACAGGACTTCCTCCATCCCCTGTTACAGGTAAGTTGAGTTTGGGTATCCAGAAACAAGGCCATAGGCAGACCAGAAGGAGAAGTGAGTTCAGGGCAAAAATGGAGTCCTTCCTTGTTGGGGTGGCTGGGAGAGACCAAAAGCTACACACAAACCCTTTCTTTCCCGCTGCCTTGAACCGGCCCAGCTCCATCCTCTCCAGGCCCCTCTTTCCTGCCGCTCCTGAGCCCCAGCCCCCAACCCAGGTCCTCTGCAGCTCCTGCTTTCCGGCAAAGGGAAAGCTGGGTCTCCGATCTAGATCATGAGGCTGGAAGAAGAGAAAAACACAAATGGAAGGGGAGGTAGTTTGTGTCTCTCCTCTCCTTTCGCTCTCGCCCACGCCTGGCTCCCTCCCTGCACTCTCCCCATACCCCGCCCCACTCTCAGCCCTCTTTCCTCTCCTCCCACGGGTCAGAGGCAGCCAGAGGCAGCAGACTTTTAGCTACGGGCAGTTGCAGAGACAGAACACTTAATATCCTATAGATTGTTGGGCTCTTAATATACTTCTTAGTTAACCTTCCAAATAAGCCTCTGAAGTAGATGCCATCTAATTTGCAAATGAAATTCAAAGTGGAAGAACTTGTCCAAGGTCACACAGATACAGGATTGGAAGCCAGGTGGTCAGAGGCCAACACTGTTCCTGTTAGGCAGGGTGGCATCCTGCTACCCATGGAGCTTTCAAAGGTGGTTTCTGGGCCCCTGGGGTGAACAACAGAGGGTTGCTTCATGAGAACAAAATTGCAGCCAATGGGAACAGTTACAGCAGCTGCAGAAATCATGCCAAGGAAGTGTGGCAAAATAGCAAAGTACATTCAACCCCATCGACTTGGGGGTCACACACCCCTTCACGTGCTCCTTTCTGTGTTTTAACCATGGCAAATCCACAGCAAAGCTATCTCAGCATCTCAAAAATCCAGAGTACAATGTCAGGCCCTGAAGTTTTTACTGGAGTCTTGCTAACTACTTTGATTACAATAATGCAACAAGGAATGCATGTTGGCTATAACTACATCTAAAGCTTTCTCTTCCTTGTGGTCAATGGAGGGTAACAGGAATGTGAGCCAAAGCAGCAAAGGTAAGAAGCCACATTCCCACAACTCTGCCTGCCAGCATCATTTTACAAAGCCCCTGACTCTGCGATGACATATAACTCTCTGGAAAGACGCCCTGAAGACAAAACAGGGTAGAGCACAGGGCACCCCCATATCTCTTGCCTGAGTCACTACATTCCTTAAAAGATAAATGATCATAGTCCTTGCCTTTTCCTACACATGAGATAACGTCTCCCAAACAAGCAATAATAGAAGATTGTGATTCATTCCACACAGACACTTCACAGTGTGCTGGAGAAGACATCAAGTGATCTAGCAAACATCCATCACCATATGTCTGTGTGGTGGAATGACCAACAGTTAGTGGTTATGCTTCTGTAATCTAGAGCTAGATGTAATCTTCAGCCTAAACTTGGATGTGATTTTGCAGCTCCTGAACCTCCACCACCTGCATATAAGCAATGGGCTGAAACACGGCTCTGGAGCGGCCTGACAGGACCTTGTTAACTGGCTGGTCCTCGGCTTTAAGCCTCAATCTAGAAGATTTCTGAATAAAACTGATTTGAATGCTTTAAACGCTTGATTTTTTTTTCCCTTCAGTTGACAGGAGCTTGAGAGGAAGTGGAAGTAAGAGGCAGCTGAAACTGACAGAAAGTGCACGGCCTTGGGTACCGGTTTCAGCACCTCCTAGCCAAAGCACCAGAGCCGAATTCCCCAACTTTTCTTCACTTTGTTTTCTTATCTATAAAACAGAGAGGATCATAATAATCTACCTCATTGATGCTGTTATGGAAAATGAAATGGAGAATTAAATAAAATGATGTTAAACCACCCAGCACAGTGTCTCGTGTACCTACTGGATGTTTTATTTATTATTTTTGAGACTGAGTTTCACTCTGTCACCCAGGCTGGAGTGCAGTGGCACAATCACGGCTCATTGCAATCTCTGCCTCCCGGGTTCAAGTGATTCTCATGCCTCAGCCTCCCAAGTAGCTGAGATTACAGGCACCTGCCACCACACCTGGCTAATTTTTATGTTTTTAATAGAGACCGAGGTTTCACCATGTTGGCCAGGCTGGTCTCAAACTCCTGACCTCAAGTGATCTGCCTGCCTCGGCCTGCCAAAGTGCTGGGATTACAGGCATGAGTCATCACACCTGGCCTCTACTGGATATTCAATGCATCTTATTTCGCTCTGATCCTACATGCCCCACAACTGTGACCAGGGGAAGCAGATGGGATTCTATTCAGGGGCTTGTGCGATTCTATGAATGGCTCATTGCTTTATTAAAATGAAAACACTGAAAGACAAATTCAAGTCTGATTTTGTATAGAAGAATGACAGCTGTGAAAAAAATTCATAATTATAAGCTTTTTTTCTCCTTGACTTAATAAACTCAAAATGCAAAAATCATCATCCTTGCCAGAAAGCATCTCTGCTTCTGCGCTCTGTGACCATGGGCATAATAATACCATGGAATTAAAGAGCAAGTGAAAGAAGTGTGAACGCTTCAGCTCTATTTCCGTCTGGTCCTTTGGCTCAGATTTTTAGGTCTAGTTTGAACCAGATGCATTTGTTTACAGCCTTGTCAACAGGTTATGCAAGAGGAGCTACCTGGGAAACACTTTTTAAAAAAGCAAAGCCCATCTTCAAGATGCTTTATTCTGATCCTAGTTTGTGTCTTCAGATGAGGCTGAAGGGTAAATTAAGGCATGAAGCACTTAAGACTCGGAGATTTGGCCTGAGGCTTCCAGCAATAAAGTCTTTGAAATGGTCAATGCAGTAGAGACTTTTTTACTCAAGAACCATCTGGGTTTTTGGCAAAACCATGAAACCTCTCAAATGTATGTGTGTGTGTTTTTTAATTACAAAATAAGCTTCTGGGGTGATCTCTCAAATGTCCAAAAATATTCTGGAGGTGATGGCTTCATTGAGTTTACACAGTTCCTCTGTACTCCTGTAGTCAGAGACTGGGAAAATACATCATGGGTGCAAACCCCATAACCACAGCTGCCTAAATCTAACACTGCAATAACTCCTTCTTGATGCCCCAACTGTTTTCTGCTTAAAAAAAAAGAAAAAAGAAAAAAAAGATTACCATTCCTCGGAAGACCACTGGAGGGTGAAGGAGGTGGTCTGAATTCAAGTCCTGCCTCTGGCTGCTTCTTGGTCACAGGTGCCATCAGGACTTCTCTGGCAAGACACAGGTGCTGGGCAGAGGGACAGCAGGATGACTCCAAGGTGGCTGAAGACACAGTGGTCCCTCACTTCTGCTTTGCTGTAAGCCTAACAGCAGGTTGGGACCAGTGGGCCCTGATGGCTACCAGGACCACTCCTCTCCCCTCCACTTACCCCACCTCCAAGACCTTCAATATCACTTCTGTGAGGACTCAGTGAGCAGGCATATCACATGTACTCGGCGCAGGGCTGGAGCCTGGCAGGGCCCCTGCTCTGGCCCAGCCTCCCACTCGGAGTCCCACTGTCAGGTGCAATGTGCAGCAGGCCCCGAGGGCCAGCATTTCCCAGCTGAGGCAGAGAACAGCTGCACTGGAGTTTTCTCGGCAGCCTGTGGGCCATGCAGCTTCCTGCCCCCATGCTAAGCTCTCTAAATCTGAGCTGGAGGTTCTAGAAATCTTTAATTTTTTGTTTTGAGACAGAGTCTCACTGTGTCACCCAGGCTGGAGTGCCGTGTTGTGATCTTGGCTCACTGAAACCTCCACCTTCTGGGCTCATGCAATTCAATTCTCCTGCCTCAGCCTCCCGAATAGCTGGGAATACACGAGTGCGCCACCACACCAGGCTAATTTTTGGTATTTTAATTGAGATAGGGTTTTGCCATGTTGCTCAGGCTGGTCTTGAACTCCTGAACTCAGGCAATCTGCCCATCTCAGTGCTAGGATTACAGGCATGACCCACCATGCCCAGCCCCATTTTTAACAAACTCATGAGCTGAGGCTCCTACATGGCAACGCCTGTTCTGCTGGCTTAGAGAGAATTGCCCCCTTTAACACACATGCAGAGTTCCCAGGTGAATTGGGTCCCCAGGGAGCAGTTGTGGGCTCCTACTGGTTCCCAGGGAGGTCTGTCCCGACTGGTCATCACCTGCTGTGCCAAGCTCTTAGTGTGGCTGGACTCCAGCAATGTCCCTCAAGCAAGGCCAGAAAGTGAGGAGCCAGGAACCCTTCATGCAAGAAACATTACATAAATCGAGGCTTTTATTTACATCACAGGACAAGAAAAGGGTACAAAAGAAGTCTCTCGGTCAAGCACATCAAGCGAAAGCTCCAAAACTCAATTCTCAGTAAGGTGTGGACACTGACATTTAAAAAAAGGAAAAAAAAAGAGAAAGAAAAGGTAAAATGGTTATCGATGACATGACCCAAATGCTTACGCTCCAGGAACTGAGTAAAAGACACCCAGGGCAGCCCTGTCACAGAGGAGGAGGACTCAGGCCGAGTGACATCTGAGGTTCATCTCTGGGAAGGTTTGACTTTTGACATTTCTGAGTTAATTTTTAACCAGATTCTTAAGAATTTCAGGGCCAAACACGCTTAACTGTACAGTTTTTCCAATTTGGGAATGCGAGTGGGGAAGTTCTTCCTGGGACAGATTCCTAGGCAAGGACAGACCCCAGCAGCTCTGTCCCCTGCCCCCACAGGCCCTCAGTCTCTTTCCCACTCACTGTGCTTGACTTTTTCTTCCACTTACGTCTATCTCTCCCTTTCTCCAATACCCAGTGCTGTGGGCAAGCCATAATTATCTCACGTGTGTGAAAATGTGCCGTATCCACTTTCATCATCTGGGCTAAAACCAGATCACTTGTTTCACTTTTCCACACCAATATTAACAACGCAGGAATTCAGTCCCAGTGAATCTTCAACGTGACGTTGAAGATTCAGAAAGTGAAGCGGAGTCTAGCTGCACAACTTCAACCTTGTCTCCCACCCCTTCCTTTTTTCTCTGTCTGTCTGTCTTTCTGTCTTGGTGGGGCCTGATCAGAGAAGCATGAGTGTGGAGGCCTGCCCTGCATGCCTTGGGACGACAGGTGGGTGCTGTCACTGATCCTGCAGGCTGCTCAGCAACAGCCCCTTTGGATTTCCAGATATTCTGGAAACAAAGTGAGAACAGTGGCCTATCGGGGAGATGGTAAGGGGGACCTCCTTTCTTTCATCTCCCTGTTCAGCATCCCATGACAGTCCACAGGTCATCCTTGGTGGGTGTCAGGCCTAAGACCCAGGCCCACCCTACCCTTTGAATCCGGGTGAGATGAGTTCACACTGGGCAGCATAGAAGAGCAAAGGATGCTACAAAGGCAGCCAATGAACTCATGGCCTCAGGGGTTTTAAGCACCAGCCATGACACCCCTGGCCACCCAGCCTCCCCCGTCCCTACTAGCGGCACAGGCCCAGCCTACCTGAACTCCCCCACACTGACGCTCCAGGCCTGGCTCCTGGATGGCCACCTTCTTTCTCTCTTTCAACATCTTGCCTTGTTTCCACTTCCTTCACATCCGTCTCCTACTTACTGCTTCCTTCTCTAATTCTGTATTTTCAATCCTGATATGTTATGTCTCCCTCCATCTCTCTCAGCCCCTATGTCCCACCCAGGACAGACACTCTTGGTTGGCCTGGTGGAGAGGAGCTGAGCCTCTGGCAGAAGTGCATCGATGGTGTTAGTAGGCCCTGACCGCAGCCAGCCACATGTTTGCAGGGACTCTGGTTGCTGCAAACACGTGGCTGGGCCGAAGTGGGCAACGCCGGCACAAGAGCCCTCAGGAGCGGTCCCTTGGCCAGCCTGTCCCAGCCACCCACCCAGCCTGCGTCCGAACTTGCCCTCCTTCCTCCTTCCTCGCCAGCCTCACAGCCATTCAGGATGGGGTAAAATGACAAGCTTTTGTCTACTTTAAACAGTCATGCCACATTGCCGACACAGTTTTCAAAGCATCATAGCCTTCAAAGAGCTCTTTTCTTCCTTCCCTCTTCTCAAGCCTGTAATTAAACTCCTGGTGACAGAGTGGCAGAGGAAGGAGATCGGGGAGAATGATCTGAGGAATAAACAGCTCCTTAGCTGCCCTCAGAACCGAGACAGCCCAGGAATGTGAGCGCCTGTCAGCCCACAACCTTTCCAGGAGAATGCAGCAAATCATCCGACTCCAGTAACATCCTCTTCTTCCCCCCAAGATTCTGCGGTACACCCACACTGCTTGGATCTGTCGAGTGTCGGCCTCCACCCCAGCACCTGCCACCTTCACGTGAAGGCTCTGGCTTCAGCACACTAGCTCCACTCCCAAACCTAACCTCAGCTGAATTCTCTGCAGGATTGACCATTGGGTCCACACGGGACTGAGAGACGTGAGAAGCTCAGCAGATGGGCAGGGGTGACTCATTCATCATACTCATGTGATTCAGCAAAGAAAGGCATGTTTTCTCTTCCAAGTATGCTGTGTGTTCAAGTCTGAGATGCTCCAGATTCACATGGTTCCCACAGCAGGGGCTCCCATTAGCGCACGAAGGATACCACACTGGTGGCTACCCCAAATGGGGCCGAGTAGGCTGCAGCGAAGCCTTGCAGCCCGATGACCACATAGCGACATCCTTTCATGATGACCTTCCCGACATTCTAGTTTTAGGAACAGAAGAGAAAAGCAAAGGATTAGGATTAGGGTAGGCAACTTTTTAATTCTGCCATGTTTCACGAAAGAAAAAAAACCCATGAGTCATGGCGACATACATAAAGATCATTTTTCCTGATTCTCCCGTGGCAAATCGGCAAGGTACCACGTGCCCACCCCCAGCCTAAGAATACGTGGGGGCTCACGGCAGCCATCATCACCTCGCAAAGTGCTTTCAAGCACAGCTTATTTCCAGATAATTCAAAGACCTTCTTGGAAACAGCAGTGAGGCTGCCAAGTCTAAAACTAACGCAGTTTTGTTTTGTTTTCCAAACCAAAGATCACTCCTCTTCTCTGTTCCAGCTAAAAATCACTGGACCATCAGAAGGCTGGGTTAAGTTTTCCTTCCTTCATCTTATCTGAAAGCCATCTTTTCCTCCGTCTACCTCAAGGGCATATTTCTGTCTGACCCATACATCTGTCCCTTTGTGGTCTTCTGTCATTTTCTAATTGCTACATCCACATAAGCTCAGCATTTCCAATACCATTATACACTCCTTGATGGTCAGGCTTGGGCAATGCTTTACTGGTAAGCACTCCTCCTCTTCCTTTTCTGCAAGGCTGAATAGGGAACATTCAGGGAATGTCAGGTGCTAGACAGGGGACATCTAAAGGACTCGAATGGGATTGCAACAGAAAAATTACCACCACCACCAATGAACGTTTATTGCATGGCTGCCCCGGTCTTCCCCTCTCTACCCCAACTTCTGTCATCATTCTTAGTGACATCATTGCCCATGCAGATAACCTGTGCCTTAGGCCACATACCTTGTCTCTCAGTCCTTTGACTTTTCCATGTTACTAGAACCACTCAGACTGGTTTGACTTAAAGTTCCTGATCACAATCACAAATCTCACCTTGCCTTCCAACACCGCCTGACAAACCTACCATATCCTTCTGGTAGGATGAATTTCTCTCTCCCCCAGGTACTGCCTCATACCTTTTCCCTTCTTAAGACTCCCCACTTGCAACACAGGCAGACACACCCAAGTCTCCATACCTCCGTGAGACGATTCCACTTCATCTTTCACAGAAAAACAAAACCAAACCCCAGACATCATCAGGGAACACATTCACCTTCCACCACTCTCTACAGACCTACCTGTGTCTGCCCCTGGCCTCCCTCGCTTGGTCTGTGTTACAGTGGAGAAAGTGGTCCTCTTCCCCCAAGCCATTCCCTTGATATTTGCTGTTGGTGCCCTTGGCTTTCCCTTCTCCAGCTCCGTCATTTGCTTCCTCTCCACTGGATCCCATTAGCTTAGACACATGCTCGGGTATCCCCTTGCCTCTGTATCCTGCCCCAGTCTCTGCCCTCCATCATGCCAAGCCAGCCAAAAGAGCCAACCACACGTACTTCTCCATGTCTGCACTTCTTACTCCCTCTGACTCTGGCTCCTTCCCCAACCTATGCAGGGACTGTCTGGTCATGGCCACCTACTCCCATGCTGCCTGAACCAATGGATGCTTTTCTGCCTTCCTCTCCCTGACCTCTCCGCAGCTTTTGACACACTTCATGAAATAATCATCTGGCCTGTTTGACTCCATATTCTCAGTTCTCTCCTACCTAAATAGGGAGCTCCTCCTCAGCTCTCTTTGCTTAATTATCCCTCTACCAGACTTTAAAATGTTGGTGTTCTTCAGTACTCAGTCCTGGGTTTCTCCTTCTCTCTCTCTTTCCCTACAATCTCTCCTTAGATGGTCTCATCCATTTCTAATGACTACAAGTACTTCCCAGATTTGAAGAACTCTTCAGCTCAGGCTCAAATATTCAATTCATTACTTGAGATCTCCACTTTTTGAGACCCCTCCAATTCCTCTGGCATGCACTCTCCCTCATAGCCCTAAGCACATAAACCTAACATGGATTGGCTGCTGATATGTTCCTGGTGGCCTCTGTCTGTCAGACTTAATAATGAGAAAGCATAGAAAGATTACATCTGTCCACATTTACATATCTGGTTAGAGGCAGAGCTGAAGTTCAATCCTAAAAGAATCTCACTTCAGGGCCTATGACCTTAACCCCCATACTATATTTCCCTTTTGAAATAAAGGCAGTATGTAAGCTTCCAGCTAACTACTCATGGCCTGGGCTTCAATTCCAACTCCATCACTTACTTAATTTCCCATGGCCTCAGTTTCCTCACCTATACAATGGGAATATTTAGTAACCACCTCATTGGGTTTTAAGAGAAATAAATGAGATCATGCAAGGAAAGCACTTAGAACAGGACCCGGTACAAACTGCAGGCAGTGTAAGTGATCCCCAGTGTCAGCGATTATTACTGCAAAATAATGCCGACTTCTTAAAAATTACATAGTAATTTGGGTTTGTGGTGGTAATACATAAACCCAAGGTATCTGTTGTCTGTTTGGGAAAGTTTCTTAAGAGTATAATTTCCTATGACTTCTGACTTACTTGAGCTTTCTTTTTTCTCTTTATTTTTTATTCTTGAGACTGAGTTTTGCTCTTGTTGCCCAGGCTGGAGCGCAATGGCGCAATCTCAGCTCACTGCAACCTCCACCTCCTGGGTTCAAGCGATTCTCCTGACTCAGCCTCCAAAGTTGCTGGGATTACAGGCATGTGCCACCACGCCCGGCTAATTTTTTGTATTTTTAGTAGAGAAAAGGTTTCACCGTGTTGGTCAGTCTGGTTTCGAACTCCTGACCTCAGGTGATCCACCTGCCTTTGCCTCCTAACATGCTGGGATGACAGGCATGAGCCTCCGCGCCCGGCCGATCTTTCAACAGTTTAAGTTACAGGGTTCCTCGCAATAACAGAAGGAGGCAGGGACTCGGTTGTGCTCATTACTACATCTTGAGCACATAAGAAAGACGCTGGGTGTTTCCTTGGGTACCTCTTCCACTGAATGAAGAGCTTTGCAAGAACCAAGCTCTGTCTGTGTCTTCTCTAGACACTGCTTTCTTGGACATTATTACTCTGCTGATTTCTCAAAGAGACACTGGGCTGGGGCATGCGCATGTGTGCGTATGTGATGTTGCTAAGAGATACACTCCTCTAAAGATGTGATAAGAATCATTGGGGGAATTTTACTTACATGTTTGAAACAACAAAAGAAAAACATTCTCTGGGAACAAGCTTAACAATCAAGAGTGATCCATCATAAACAAGATCAGAATCACAACTGCCTGCATTAAATATGACATTTTTGGTATTTGTGCATCCATTTTGCTCAGCCTGTTATGCTTTAAAAGCTGCTTGTCACTTTGTAATTTAGGGAAAAAAAATCTACTAAAATAGTTCATTAACTTGAACACTGTCAAAAACACAGATTTGAGAAATGAAATGCAAAGAAATGTAAAATATCTCTCAACCATTATTTCAGTGTCATTTAAGAGAGCGCATTTGGGATTCTTTGATCTGAGTAGAGCTTTCTACCCAACTAATCTCTCAGAGGGGACCTGGGGTCTAAGGGAACAAAGAGAGTCACCTGCTTTATTTCTCCATGTTTGAGCCTGGTAACCCTCTCAGTTGGCTCCAAGAAAGTAGAAGCTGAAGTCATTCTTTTGAAGGTCAGAAAGGAGAGATCCAACCCTAACCTGACGATATCCTCTCGCCTGGCCTCCTGGGTCCGCTGAACTAACACTCTAGAGCTTTCATGCTCACAGCCGGGCTTGTGATGGTCCCTCTACCTCAAACGACACCACTTCTCTATCCAGTGAAATCTTTTTTTTTTTCATTTGTTTTCATTAAGGCAAAATTCACATAACATAAAATTCACCATTTTAAAGTACACACAGCCCAGTGGCATTTAGTACTTGTACAATGTTGTGCAACCACCACTTCCATCTAGCTCCAAAACATTTTCATCATCCCCAAGAAAAAACACATGACAATTAAGCAGATGCACTCCATTCCTCTTCCTCCAGTCCCTGGCAATCACCAGTCTGTGTTCCATCTCCATGGGCTGACCTATGGTAGACATTCCCTACAAATGGAATCATAGGCACCATACGTGACCCTGTGGGTCTGACTGACTTCACTTACCATAGTATTTTTAGAGGTTCATCATGCTGTAGCATGGATTAGTACATTTCCTTCCTTTTATGGCTGAATACTATTCCATTGTATGTATATAACACACTTGTTTATCCATCCATCCATTCATGGACATTTGGGTTGTTTCTGCCTTTCGATGATTGTAAATAATGCTTCTATGAAAATGTGTATATAAACATTGATTTGGGTACTTGTTTTCATTCTCTCGGTTACATACCTAGGAGTGGAACTGCTGGGTCACAGAATGAGTCTACCTGGAACCTTCTGGAGGAATTGCCAAATTGTTTTCCACAGTGGCCGTCCCACTTCACCTTCCCACCAGCAATGTACAAGGGTTCCAATTCCTCTACATTCTCACCAACATTTGTTATTTGGTTTGTCTGGACATTTTTGGGAGTAGCCATCCTAGTGGGTATGAAGTGTACCCACTTCACTGTTATCTGGTGAAATCTTAACTCGTCCTTCTGTGCCCAGTTTTCATGTCAGCATGATTTGAAAACTTCCCTGCCTTTATAAGCGCACTGCTGAGGAGTGAACTGCCTGAGCTCTGTGCCCTGAAGCTCCTGTGGGTGGCGCCCCAGCTATGTCAGTGTCTCCCTGGGAGGCTGTGCACTTCTCTAGGGCAGGGCTACGCTGTATTTATTTTCACACCCCTACTGTTCAACACAATGCCTGCCACATAGTGAGGGCCCCCAAAATATCTTCAAGTCCTACTCCTTGAGCGGGGATTTCTGCAATATCACTTCACCGGTGGAAAGGGACATGATGGCTTTTTTGTGCTCAACTTGGACCCAGACCAGAGACGATTCATCCTACAAGGGCTCTAAGCCTGAAAGACCCAACTTCATAGTTTTTATTAATATTTTTTTTACCCCTGCCTGTGTTCTGCTCCAGAAGCTGCTGGTATACCTTTAAAGAGGATGATAGACGTCAGCTCCCAGGCATGGAGACTGAATGGCTTCAGGTTTAAGAGGGCATTGGGTGACACAGATAACTGGACAATAAATCAGATGAGGCCCGTGGCCCTTGGCCAGGACAGTCACTTCTGTGACTTTATTCTGGGTGGCCTCGTCCCGGCCACGAGAGCTTCAGGCAGCAGCTTCCAGTGCTTCTAGGCAGAAACACCTGGGAAGTGCATCTGGGCTTTGATTTCTGAGAAGAAAACTGTCATTTTCTCCCATATTCATCCTTCCTAACACCATCTCCCAGAGACAAATGGCAGAATGTTTTGAAGGTCCCACAGTACACAGATAGTTGGCTAGAAGAGAAAGATAAAGTCAGCAAGCGCCTATTTATGTATTTCTTGCACTCCCAGGCCCTGGAAATAACCTTGGAAATATTTGGGGGAATAACCCAAATATTTTTCGACTGGTCGGATATCCTGGAGGGATGTTACTGGAAAACAGATATAATGGGTTGCAATTTCTTTCTCTTTCCAAAAGGGCCACCTTCTCCAAGTCACCTGCTACGCTAACGCTTCAGTATCCTCTCTGTAATCAGGGACACTAGTTCCTGATCTTACATAAGAACCGCCTTGGTAGGAGCCCCTTGAGAACGTTCTTTACCAGCCAGGAGCACAGCAGCAGGCACAGCGGGGCCCACCCAGTGCAACCCCCGATTTAAGTTTCAATCACGACTCGTAACTCGCGGCTCCCCTCTGGCGAGGGACTGGGAGTGGGGGCGGAGGGGGTCGCAGGTGCAGCCCGGAGAAACTGGGTGAGTCGACGGTCAGGACCCGGCTCCCGCTCCCCCGCGGGCCACCGCACCCGCGCCCCCCGGGCAGTGGCGGCGCAGGGCCCCTACCTTGCCGTACTTCTTCAGCTTCCGCCGGTACCTCCTCCTGGGCTTCTCGCCCGGCGCCGGCTCCTCCAGCGGCTCGTAGCGCTCGGGCAGGAGGGCGAGGTGCACCCTCCGCGCGCCCCGGGCCCCCGGGCCCCGCTCGCCCGCCGCGCTCGCCCCGCTCTCGGCCGCCGTCGCCTCTGCCTCGTCTCCGTACTCCAGGTGGTCCAGGATGGCGGCCGCCTCCTCGTCCCCCTCGGTCCGCCCTCGCCCTCGGGGCCCGCGGCGCAGGAGGCTGCTCTCCGCCTTGCTTCTGAGCCTGGCTCCCACCGTCATGATGCCGCGGACCCTCTGGCTAAGGTCCGAGCGCCAAGACCAACCTTTGCTCCCCGCCCGCTTCTCCGCCTCTGCCCGGACGGGGCGGGGGCTGGGGGGGGCGCTGCAGCGCCCCCTGGCCGTGGGGCCCGGGATGGCGGCGGCGCGGCACCAGACTGGCCTCCCAGGAGGCGGACGCGCTCCGCCAGCCCCGCCCAGCATCCCACCTGCCGGCCAAAAGGTGCAGGTGTAATCTCACCTGTGATCCCAGCGCGCACTGCACACTGAGCATGCAAAACACCTTCAACTGCACTTGCTACGAAATCAATGACCCCAAAATAATAGGACTCCACCTGTCCATGTTCAAATTAGCAACGATGGTAATGACAAGAGAGATCACGCTCAGTGTTGGGGAGAGCATGGCGAGATGGTCACGGTAACAGTATTCGTGGGTGTGCAAATTGGTGTCAAGCTTTTGGAAAGGCGATCAGAAAATCTTTACCGTGAGTCTTAAGAAACGTCTGTATCCTTCTAGGAAATATTCGGAAACGCAAGGCAGTATGTCCACGGTGTTCAACGCTCTCAGTGAAAAAGTGGAGCAAACCAACGGGGAGGGGGCAAAGGAAATTCTGCTCCAGACATGCCAGCATATGGCGCAGTCATTACAATCATGATTTTCAGGAATATCTCTCTGTGAGATAAGCATTCTCAATGTACTGTGAATCTCAACAAGCTGAGAATGCCCTATTTTCTTAAGCGAGTAAATGCCTTTGAATTCTGGTTAATGTGAAATTAAGGGCTGGGAGCAGTGGTTTGCGCCTGTAATCCCAGCACTTTGAGAGGCCTAGAGGATAGCTTCAACCCAGGAGTTCAAGAACAGCCTGGGCAACATAGACCTCTATCTCTACCAAAAAAAAAAAAAAAAAAAAAAAAAGGAAAAAATTAGCCAGGCATGGTGGTGTGCGCCTGTGGTCCCAGCTATTCAGGAAGATCGCTTGAGCCTGGGAGTCTGAGGCTAACCTGGGCAGCAAGAGATCTCATCTCTATAAATAAAAAAATAAATACAAAAATTCACCTGTAGTCCCAGTAAGGCAGGAGGATCGCTTGATCCTGGAAGGTGGAGGTTGCAGTGAGCTGTGATTGTGTCACTGCACTCCAAGGGGGTCAACAGAATGAGATCTCATCTCAAAAAATACTTACGTACAAAAAATATAGACAGTTACACTAATATTTTACCATTAAAGTTTGTGTTATCTTTAAGAATAATGTGGATATGTTGGTACAAGGACACACAATGTTTATGACAATTTAGTTCATTAGGATGCCAAAGAAATTAATTTTGTGATTCCAACTTAAAATGTGAGCCAGCATGGTGACTTTCACCTGTAATCCCAGCAACTCTAGAGGCTGTGGTGGGAGGATTCCTTGAGGCCAGGAGGTCTGAGCAGCATAGTGAGGCCCCATTTCTAAAAAAATTAAAATTCGGGGCAGGCACAGAGGCTCATGCCTGTAATTCCAGCACTTTGGTAGGCCGAGGCGGGCGGATCACGAGTTCAAGAGATTGAAGCCATCCTTTCACCATTCAACATGGTGAAACCCCGTCTCTACTAAAAAATAAAATAAAAATACAAAAATTAGCTGGGCATGGTGGCATGTGCCTAAAGTCCCAGCTACTCCAGAGGCTGAGGCAGGAAAATCACTTGAACCCAGGAGGCAGAGGTTGCAGGAAGCCAAGATCGTGCCATTGCACTCCAGCCTGGGCAACAAGAGCAAAACTCTGTCTCAAAAACAAACAAACAAACAAAAACAAATGTGTAAACAAGTAACTGATTTAGTCTTTTAACTGTTTAATGCAATAAGTAATGACTTATATTTAATATTATAAACATATAGTCTTTATATGTAAAATTGTGTATAAAATTCATATACAATTCAATTTCAGATGAAAGGGGTATGAAAATAAATTTAACTTACTATATTTATGAGACTTAGAGTTTTGTTATATAATTGAAGTACTTGAGAAGAAAGCAAAATATTAAATTTGTAAAAGTTGATTGAAATGTTTGGGGGAACTAAATTGTAAAGAGTAAAAGTAGCTCCTTACAGTAATTGTGAAATTTTATTGGGTTTGTAAGAAGTATGTAATTTGAATTTAAAAGGTTAAGAGAAAGTAGATTTGTAACTTCACTAAAGCAACTATTACTTTATATGCAAATGGAGACCCTCATAGTCCCTTTTCTGTGTACAAAACTGACCAAAGACCTCTAGGCTGCTTATCAAATGGTGATATGGTTTGGTTCTACGTCTCCAGCAAATTTCATGTTGAATTGTAATTCCCAATGTTGGAGGCAGGGCCTGGTGGGAGGTGATTGGATCATAAGGGTGGTCCTTCATGAATGGCTTAGCACCATCCCCTGGGTGCTGTTCTCGTGATAGTGAGGGAGTGAGCTATGGTGAGATCCGGTTGTTTAAAAGTGTGTGGTGCACACCTCCCCCTTCTATCTCTCTCATTCCTGCTTTGGCCATGTTTGCCTGTTTCCCTTTCACTTTCCGCCATGATTGTAAGTTTTCTGAGGCCTCCCCAGAAGCAGAAGCCATCATGCTTCCTGCATAGCCAGCAGAACTGTGAGTCAATTAACGCTCTTTCTTTATAAATCACTCAGTCTCAGGTATTTCTTTATAGCAGTGCAAGAAAGAACTAATAAAAATAGAGACGAAGTTAGAACATCCATGGACCTAAAATACTTTTTTGTCAGAACAAAACACTTTTCAAACATCACAACAACATTTAGTTTGCCTTTAAAGGCAGAACACTAGAACAATTAAAAATGGATCTCCAGATTCAGTCTCTATAACCAGTGAACAAGCAGGATTTAAGGAGATGTAATCAGAAACTGTCTTTTTTTTTTTTTTTTTTTGAGACAGAGTTTCGCTCTTGTTACCCAGGCTGGAGGGCAATGGCGTGATCTCGGCTCACCGCAACCTCCGCCTCCTGGGCTCAGGCAATTCTCCTGCCTCAGCCTCCTGAGTAGCTGGGATTACAGGCACGTGTCACCATGCCCAGCTAATTTTTTGTATTTTTTTAGTAGAGACGGGGTTTCACCATGTTGACCAGGATGGTCTCGATCTCTTGACCTCGTGATCCACCCACCTCAGCCTCCCAAAGTGCTGGGATTACAGGCTTGAGCCACCACGCCTGGCCAGAAACTGTCTTTATGTTGCATTCCTTTGTCTCTCTGCAAGTTATTCTGTGCAGGGACTGAGTCTCTTTCTCCTGGGTGAAAATTTAGGCAGTCCTATAGTTTTTCTGTTCACACAGAGGTAATAAATCCAAAGTTGTAAATATAGTCTTAATCTATATAATCCTAAATTGTATGATGTTCAATTCCATGTAATACTGAGAACCTGGAACCTGGTTTAAGTAAATCTTCTCTCCTCCCTCAGGCAGCACCTGATGCGGGTGTGTACCTGTGTACAGTGGTGATGAGGGAGTGAGGACTGGGGAGGAACAACAATTTCTCTTCAGTTTCCCCCGTCTAGTGTTTCTCAGTCTCCCAAGCTTGCAAAGTGATTTCTGACCCTTCTAGGACCAAAACAGAGAAGAGTGAAGAAAACACCTTCCATCACTAGTATTGCCCAAGGCGTTGTCGCACCCGCAAGGCCTAGCAGGTATATGAAGCTGGTTTTCTATAGTTCTTTACAGGCCCTCACTGGAAACATTCTACTGTACTGGTTATGACCCAGCAAATACCCTTGAACCCCTGATCACCTATGCCTTCCTCAGTCTCCAGGGGTCCTGTGGTTCCAGGCCAATGCTATGGTCTGAATGTCTGTGTCCCACCCTCCCAAATTCATGTGTTAAATTTCTAACTCCAAGGTGATGGTATCAGGGGAAGGGAGGCCTCTGGGAGGTGATTAGGTCATGAAATGGAGCCCTCATGGGACTAATGCCCTTATAAAAAGAGTCCCCCGAGAGAAATCCCTCACCCCTTCTGCCACGCGAGGACACAGCAAGAGATAGAATCTGCTGGCACCTTGATCTTGGACTTCCCAACCTCCAGAATGCTGAGAAATAAGTTTCTATTGTTTACAAGTTACCCAGTTTATGATTTTTTTTATAGCGGCCCAAATGGACTATGACAACTGGTTTTCCTATCCTGTGCCTTTAAGATGGTCATGTGGATACAGGATTTGATATATGGACTTCGGTGCTTCCACATTTGGTGAAGGGCTCGAATAGCAAGCTCTGGGCTGGGCCATCTCCAGTGTAACTCCTGGAATGACCACAGAGCTGTTACTTGTGCCGTAGTGAGGAAGCTGGGGCACCAGGCGGCTGCCACTGGAGCTGGTGGCTGTAAGGATATACCACTTCAGCTGCCACCTGGGAAGCCTCCAAATCCCCACAGTTAGCCATAGTCCAGCCCTGCCTGTGTCCCTGTCTGCTAGAGCTGCCATAACAAAATACTGCAGACTGGCGGCTTAACCAAGAGAAATTAATTTTCCCACAGTTCTGGAGGCTGGAAGTCTGAGTTTAAGGTGTCAGCAGGTTTGGTTTCTCCTCAGGCCTCTCCCTTTGGCTTGCAGATGGTCGCCTTCCTTCTGTCCTCACATCACCTTTGCTCTGCGCATGCATGTCCTCGCTCCTTCTTCCGCTTTTTAGGACACTGCTCCTATTGGATCAGAGCCCCATCCTAATGACCTCATTCAACCTGTCTTTCTTTCTTTCTTTTTGACAGGGTCTGGAGTGCAGTGGTATGATCTCAGCTCACTGCAGCCTTTGCCTCCTGGATTCAAACCATCCTTCCACCTCAGCCTCCCAAGCAGCTGCAACTACAGGCCTGAGCCACCATGCCCAGCTATTTTTTGTAGTTTTTGTAGATACTGGGTTTCGCCATGTTGCCCAGGCTGGTCTTGAACCGGGCTCAAGCAATCCACCTTCCTCGGCCTCCCAAAGTGCTGGGATTACAAGTGTGAGCCACCTGACCCAGCCTCAGTCAACCTTAATGACCTCTTCGAAGGCCCTTTCTTCAAATACAATCATATCTAAGGTACTGGAGGTTCGTGTTTCAACCTATGAATTGGGAGGTATGGGGCACAATTCAGTCCATTACAGACTGCTGGTCTGCACTGGCAACACACAGGCACCCCTCCCCTTTCCTTTGATACCCATGAGACTGAGGAGCAGACACTGGCATTCTGGCACGAAAATCTCACCACCTGCAGGAGTGCGCTTGTCAGCAGAAGCAGCATAAACAGCTGAAGCTTGGCTTCCACGTCCTCTGCCTTCCAAAGCTCGTGGGAGTGCACCTGATTAGCCTAAACTAACTTGCTCAATTTCCTCCAGTACCCTAGGGACACTAGAACGTGATTTCAGCTCCTAGACTGCACGCTGGAAGGAGGGTGAGAAGAATGCTGAGTGACAACCCACAACATTCACCTCTTGTAGGAATCTTTCTTTACTGATAAGAATTAGAAACTTGTTCTC